GACGGTCCACGTGCTTTTCTGGACCGTCCGTTCCGGGCTTCAGTTTTTCCGAAATTAAACCGAATTAGGGTTAAATCACCTTATAAGAAGGAGATTAAAAACCCTAACTCGTAAGAGACAAAAGAGAGCCGACTTTTGGCAGAAAAGAGAGAGTTTTTGGAGATCCAAAAACGAGTTCTAAGTCTCGAGATTTCTCGGTGCACATATCGAATAGAGATTCGAGTCCTAGCAGACAAGTTCCAATCGTTGGAATCCATCCCGAGGTGTGGATACGTATAGAGGGCGAGGTAATCTTCCTGCCTAAGTGATCGGACGAATTCTTCAGTTGATACAGGCCCCGGATCGATTGAGGTAAGCGTTCTAACGTTTCTACGATTCATTAGAAGCAATGGTTCTAGCGTTTATTAAATTTTTGTTTTATATCCGTTGCGCAAACCCTAGAATCGATCTCTTAGGAATAGGATTCGCTCTAGAGATCCCAGGAATCCCAACATTAAAATCACCGGCCATAGAGAATAATTTGGACCAGACATCCCAAATGGATTAAATCCATCCGTGCATAATGCTAGATATACGTTTCTAGTCTCACTTGCAAAATCAGGAATCACCTGTTGAAAGTGTTTCCATGCTATACCATCGGATGGATGATGCATTTCTCCATCAGGCGTCGAATGCTCACCATGTCATCGCATAAATGATGTTGTCTTTTCGGATTGATATAACCTTTTCAAACGATCTGTCACCTGTTGAAAGTGTTTCCATGCTATACCATCGGATGGATGATGCATTTCTCCATCAGGCGTCGAATGCTCACCATGTCATCGCATAAATGATGTTGTCTTTTCGGATTGATATAACCTTTTCAAACGATCTGTTATAGGCATATAAAACATTCTCTTCAAAGGAATTAACTTGCCTTTCTTTGAAGCTTTCCGGCATGGTCGATATCTGTCTTTCCCGCAGAAACGACATTCCATCAATTCTGCATATTCCTTCCAAAAAATCATACAGTTGTCTTCACAAACATCAATCTTCCGGTAAGGTAGACTCAACGTACGCATCCGAATCTTCGTCTCATAATATGATTCTGTTGCAGTGTTACCTTCCGGAAGATACTGTTTAAACATCTGACTGAAGCCATCCATACATCTCTCCGGAAGATTGTAGTCAGTCTTCATATTCATCAATTGTGAAGATAATGATAATCTTGACAACCCTTGTACGCAACCTTCATATATCGGAGTGTTCGCCGTGTTAAGCATATCATAAAATCTTTTCGCTTCAACGTTTGGCTCTTCTTCCATATATGGAGAAGGAGCAACGTTGGGAAATGCATCATTCACCATCTCTGCATATAGATTTCGGTCTTGATCTTTTTGAAAGATCGGAGGTAGCGACGTGTTTTCCACAAGTTGTTCTTGCATTTGTGAAACACGTGATGATGACGACGTATCATATGTTTCTCCATGAGCCAGCCAAACATAATAGTTTGACATAAAACCTCTTCTATAAAGATGCTTACAAACTTCATACTGACGTCGCCATCGTTTATTCTCGCATTTTGAGCACGGACATGGTAACTTCGAACTCTCAATATACGATGTTTGACTTGTTGCAAACGCCAGAAAATGTTGTAATCCTTCAGCAAACTCACTCGAGATTTGATTAGAAGAATCAAATCTATTATACATCCACATTCTGGATGAAAAAGACATTTTTCTGTAAATAAATTTTTTTTATAACAATTTTTTTTCTATCTATGCATCCTCAGCGCGCGGTGGTTATATAGAGAAAATGTTGCGACGGACTTGCGACCGATATCTTCTGTCGTAAACCAATTTGCGACAGAAATACGACAGATGTGCGACACATGTTAGGTGACATACCATTCACGTGTGTACCTAATATTGCGACACAGCGGTGAGTCGTAATTCGGTCGCAAGTGCGACAGAAATGCGACAGATGTGCGATAGAGGTTAGGTGACATACCATTCACGTGTGTACCGAATTTTGCGACACAGCGGTGAGTCGCACTTCGGTCGCAAATAATGAGCGACACCTAGAATCTGTCGGATAGCTGTCGCATAGTATCCGCGACGCATAATATCTGTCGCAAATGTGTCGTACACATTTTCCGACCGACCCATCTGTCGCAAATTGTGTCGGTAAATACCGATAGACAATCTGTCGTAAAATATCTGTCGGTTTCTGTCGTCAGTCTGTCGCAAATTATTGCGACACGTGTATCGGTCGTAAATTTGCGACAGATTTTGCGTCCAAGTCCGACAGATATTATTTTTCCAGTTTGTGTCGCTTTTTAGTCACTGTCTGTCACAAAATTTGCTGCGACAGACATTTCGGTCGCAAAAGCTGTCGCGAATTACAGTTTTTCTTGTAGTGAGAGGAACTTTCTCATGATACACAAGCAACATTTATTCCTCTCGTACACTTGATCTGGTGACGTGTAAATCCTCATCATCATCATTAGGGGTGGGCACGGATCGAATATCCGTGATTTTTGAGATATCCGTATCCGTATCCGATCCGCACAAATATTCGATTTTATTATCCATATCCGATCCATAATTTCGTATATCCGTAAATATCATGGATATTTGCGAATATTCATATCCGACATAAAAAATTAAAAAAATTAAATTCAAATTTAAATAACAGTTTTAAATATAAAGAAAATATATAAGTTATTTAATATAAATGTTATTCACAATTTAAAATTTATAATTTAAATATTTTAAATCAATACAAATACAATCATAATTTATCATATACAAATATAATATATTGAAAGTTCAAAATTCAAAAATTAAAATAATAAATTTTAATATTCAAAAGATTAAATATTCTAAATCTCAATATATACAAAATATTTTTTGAATATCCCTATAAAATATGTCCTATAAAATATATAAGTATAAAGCATTTTAAATTTCTATAGCAAATTATTTTTATATTTAATAACATTATTAATTAGTACGGATCGGATCGGATATGCCGGATAATTCGAATTTGATATTAGTATTCGATCCGTATCCGACAAATATTTCAAAATAAATATCCGTATCTGATTCGTAAACTTCGGATATATGAATTTTCAGTTCGGATACGGATCGGTTCGATTTTTCCGGATATTATGCCGACCCCTAATCATCATCATGTAAATTTTTAGAAAATTATTAATGATATCTGCCTAATTATTCTATAAACTAAACTTTACCAAAAATTATGATTCGCACCACATATTTATTTTTTGATCGCATACTTTATAAAATCCAGATTTTAATTTATTTCTATTGAATAAGATCTTAAACTTATTTTAGGAATATTTCCAACATTATTCATTTTGACGAGTTTACGAGATAGATTATAATTAGATTATATATAATAAAACCTCATATTTCAAAGTTATTATTCCAAACGCTACTAAATAATTTTTTTTAAATCTCGTCATTTGAAATGAACCTAAACTATTTCTTACAATATATTCGAATCCAAATAATATTTTATATTTGTTCAGATAGTGATTTTTGAATTTGAATTGATCGGGGCAGAATTCTAAATATAAATTCTAAAATTTTATAGCTATTTTTTTTATAAAAAATTCTATTTTTCAAGTTACTATTAAATACTTCAAATAAATCTGAATGAAAACTAAATTTGATACTGTTTCGCTATTTATATACAAATTAAATTTTGAAAAATTATTCGGTTCAAATTCCATACCTATTATTAATACATCCATTTTTTTTATCCCATTATTTATGGCGCACGGCTCATTTGACTTTTGTTAGGATGGTCGGTCGAATAATTTGATACAATTAGTATTACAATTCATTTGTTTACAAATCATATACATAAATAATTGATTTCAAGACAAAGTGAGGCCAGAGGACAAACAAAACCCACCCATGTTTGAACCTTGCAAGAATCTACAATCGGGAAGCGGGACCCACTCCCACTCGTCCCTCTCCTTGTCATAGCTTAACCTAATTATATCCCACAAGCCCTCGAGATTAGACATTATTAATACGACCCTAATTGCACTTAATCTCCTCTCTAAACACCCCATCGTTACACTGCAAGGCTTGTTTATCTTCTTGATTATCTCATCTGGCGCTCTTGATACTATCTCCCATTTCTCACCGTTTGCGCTTATACTCCACACTTCCATGCTCTTTGTTCTTCTCGTCCTTGCTTCGATTATTTCGAATTCGATTATTATTTTGCACCCATCACCGTATATGCATACCGGTTGATTCACTGGATCGGTTTGGCTAAACCGGACGGCTGGGTTTCGGTTAAACCTTGGCTGTAGAATCACCGGGCAATGAGATTGTGCATTCATCCCATCTTCCACACTCATCAAAACGTTCTCGTGAGGTCGATTCGATATGTTAAGAAAGATTTGATCTTTCTCGCGAAAGATCCAATCTTGATCAACGTTGTTATGTACTCCTTTCTTAGATTCCCACATGTTGGTTCTTGAATCATACGCATAGAGGTCGGACCGGTTATCAACAATCTCCGCGAACAAAAACCGGAATTGACCGGACCCAGGTGGACCGGATATAAGCTTCATACCGGACCGCCTCCAAGACGAAGTGCCACGTGGACCTAACGGGCATGGACGGATTCTTGTGACGGACTTGTTGACTAAGTCAACGACTATGATCGCATGACAAGAATTAGAAGCAAACAGGAGGAGGTTACCGTTAGCCGTCAACAAGTACAAGTCTTCGCCGGGAAAATTCACCTCCGACAATAGTTCCGTCACCGGAATCTTGAACCAGCGTGATGACCTGTCGGAAAGCCCGTGAAGGGCACCGTCGTGACGCCAGCGTTTGGCGTAAACAAAAAGCCATGAATCCCTCTGTGATCTTAGATTGAAGAGACGATTGAAGTGTCGGTCTAATATCGTGTTCAATACATATCTATTGACCTGTTTCATGCGAATGACTTCGGGTATACATAGATGAAGGAGTATGTTTTGCAAGAGATCAGAAGGAAGAAGGCAGAATCCAATATCTTTGGTGTTTGGCTCTTTGTCATATTCCATGATCTTATCTTTGTGGATCAATATGATAACCTATATATATATATATATATAGTGGCAGACCAATTATTTGTATATTATATGGTGGTATGGTTTATGAGAGTGAGCATATATGATTTGGTTTGCTTTAAATATAAACTAATTTTAGATTGAATGTTTATTTAGGTCAAATATCAACCGATTATATTTTGTTCACTCTACTCACTATATTATGCCCAATAAACACCTCCTCGAAACCAAAATAAAATACATAAAATAAATTTAGTGCAGAACTTATTAAAATGGGAAAATAATTTTATGATTGGAGTTGAATATAGATTTTAGATATGAATAGAAATAATAATGGACACCAATATATTGTTATCTTATTTGTTTCCATTATAACTATATTTCATTTTTATTTCATTAGATAATTTTTCTATAAATATGTAAGTCATATCACAAAAAGAAGAAATATAATAATAAAATGATTATGCTATTTTTATATTTTTTTATTTAATTTCAGCATTTTTTAATAATAACTTATTTATTTTTAATAAAAATGCTAACACAATAAATTTTTTTAATAAGATAAATTAATGAACAAATATAATATAATAATATATAAATACAGAGACAATATACGAGTATATATTTCATATGTAATGTCACTTAATTAGAAAATGATTATACTAGAATGTATATCGATTTTATATAATCGCCATGACGTTTTCATGTCACGGGCATGAATCAAATACAGTGCATTACTTCTTTTGAAAATAATTATTAAATGATGGGGGTTGGTTTCTGATTGGTGTTTTAATTATGAGATGCTAATGTTGGTCAGCTTTACAAGCAACGAGAGGTCAAAGTGTAGCCACCACAACTTCATTATATTTTAAAGGGATAATCGCATTTAAATACCCAAACTTTTATAAAAATCCCACATAAATATCCAAACTATAAAAATATCATATAAATACATGAACTTTTCATAACTCCCACATAAATACCCAGACTTTTAAATTTTTTCAAAATCAACCACTCATCCGTTAACGACGTTAAACGTTACTGTTCACTCGACAAAAAACTGCTGACTCAGCAATGACTCAGCAAAAAAACCCGCTGACTCAGCAAAAAGTGTTGACTCAGCAAAAAAATATTATTAAATATTCAAATTTTTATCTACATATATTTAAATTAATATATACATATAAATTCACACACACATATATATATATATACAAATATATATTAAAAAAAATTATTTATAATTAATAAAATACATATACACATAACTACAATATATAAATATATATATATCATTACTAATGCATATATATTAAAAGAAAAATAATTATAATTAAATTTATGTATATACATAATATATGTATTAAAAAATAATTATAACTAACATATATACATATAATATATATTAAAAATAATATTTATATGTATACATATTAATTATATATACAAAATATACATATACAATTAATATATATAATTATAATTAGTTATATATACAAAATATACATATACAACTAATTAGGGATTTGTATATAATTATAATTATATATATTAGTTGTATATGTATATTTTGTATATATAACTAATATATATACATATAAATCTTATTTTTAATATATATTATATGTATATATGTTAGTTATAATTAGTTTTATTTTAATATGTATATTATGTATGTATATAAATTTAATTATAATTATTTTTTTTGAGTCAACACTTTTTTGCTGAGTCATTGCTGAGTCAGCAGTTTTTTGTCGAATGAACAGTAACGTTTAACGACGTTAACGGATGAGTGGTTGATTTGGAAAAAAATTTAAAAGTCTGGGTATTTATGTGGGAGTTATGAAAAGTTCAGGTATTTATATGACAATTTTATAGTTCGAGTATTTATGTGGGATTTTTGTAAAAGTTCGGGTATTTAAATGCGATTATCCCTATTTTAAATGATTGAAATTCGGGAAATGGACGGTGGAGATGAAGTGTGGATCTATTTTAAAATTCTAAATGTTAGGTTTATCTGCATTTTATGGAAGAATTGATTTAGTTTTATTTATGAATAAAATAAAACACGGGTTTATAATTATATATATAAATGAAACAAAAAGAAAAGTAAAGCAAATTAGTGAGTGTGACTAACAGAATCTAAGAAAAAAAGGGTATAATATTTTCAAGCAATTCTTTGGATTAATTTTAACCTCCAAAATTAAAAATCTAACCGGGAATATTTCGTATTTGAAACAATAATAATATTGGATAATAGTAGTATGTTGGAAAGGAAAAAAAAAGAATAAATGAGACATCAAAAGTTTTAAAATGTAAAAAATAAAAATTTTATTAAAAAGTTGGAAATAAAATTATATCATCAATCATAACAGTAAATAAATACTAATTGAATTACTTTGTGTTAATAATTTTAAAATATCACTTTTGCACAACTTTTTTCGAATTAATACATAATTTTTACTGTTGCTTCGTTGGAACCTGCTCATTGATTCAGAGGGTTTCTTCGTTTTTTTTTTTGGTTTCATGTCCGTTTGATAAATTGCTCACTTATCTTTACAACAAATTTTGTAGAGCAAAGAAAAAAAACCCAGAGAGAAGAATGACGATGGACGACGGGAACTCTGTCTACGTCGGCGGCCTTCCTTACGACGTCACCGAGGAGACTGTCCGGCGAGTCTTCTCTGTCTACGGTTCTGTCACCTCCGTCAAGGTAATCTCCTGTTTCTTCTCTCTCCGATGATGCTCGAAGAACCACCAAATCTAGGTTTCGTTGATTTCTCTTGTCTCCTTTCTTCGATTCCGATGCCAATCAGTTCAACTATTCACAATCAGTTCTGGGTCGTTATTAGGTCTCGATTTTTCGTGAATTCTTCTGCCGAGTCCGTGATTACTCGTTTAATTTTTTGAATTGTATGAGGATGTATTTTATGTCCCAGAAGGAATACATGCGATGCTTAATCTTTTTGTAACCTTTTTTTTTGCTCTAAACGTTTCCTTAATTGTGTATAGCTCTTATGCCTGCGGCACATAGTTTAGGGATTGAGTTTGTGTTTATATGTATCATTTGGGTGATGTTTGGTGATGCAGATTGTCAATGACCGCAGTATAAGAGGGAAATGCTATGGCTTCGTGACATTTTCAAATCGTCGATCAGCAGATGATGCCATCGACGACATGGATGGGAAAGTATGTTCTCTTTCCTTTCCTGTTCTCACATTTGATAGTTTTCTCGAGACTTTTCGTGCTAGAAAACACATATTGACCATTCGGGCTATTTATATGATTGAGCAATTTGAGCTTGTTCTTGTTATTAGACTATTGGTGGGCGTGCAGTGCGTGTGAATGAAGTTACAAACAGAGGCGGAAGATTGAACCCATCTCGAGGACATTTTCGACAACAGAGTGGCTGGGATAGAAGCCATGATAGGGAAAGTGATTATAGTTATGACCGGGATCGGTACAGTGATAGGTCCCGAGAACGTGATAGGTCTCAGGATAGGAGGAAGGATCATTACATGGAGAAGGAAAGATCTTATGAACATCCACTTGATCATGAGAGGAGAAAAGATAGACAGATGTTGGATAGAAATGGTTACGAGGAAAGGATGTTGGAAGGAGATGGAGGCGAGTGGCGTGGAAACAGATCATATGGGGATCATGGTAGAGGAGTCGACGAAGCTGATGCTCATCATATGAACCGGGACGAGGGAAGGAGCCAAGACACGAATAGAGAGGAAGGGTAAGCTATATGTTCAACTTTACTTCAGGTTCTCGTCAAAAGTAGCTTAGCTTTTAGATTTTGGTAAGCTATATGTTCAACTTTACTCAGAATTGCTCTTGTTGGGTAAGCTATAGTGTTGATTAGAATTTTAGCTCGGTTGAAAATCAACATGAGAAACACCATTCTCCGAGGCAAACTTTCTGCTGATTTTCTGTATCATGTATCCAGAATTGCCTCAAATTACTGATGATGATCTAATAATGTATTAATTTATGCAATGCTTTGACATCATAGCTAGATTCTGAAGGATCAACAAGATTCAGGACCAGTAGTTAGATTATAACTTAGTTGTTGTGCTTGTTAGTTTAACGCCCTTCACTTTTCAATAGCGGATAAATGCAGTTGAGCATCTAGAATGACCTCTTCCAATCTGGTTTCAGCTGTAACTAGCAACATGCCTTCCTTGAGACACTTGATTATTTAGATTCATCCAATGATCTGATGTCATATGGTTTTATCTTATCAACAGTCCCATCTTTGACGGTGGACGCGGTAGAGAACACTTCTCTAGTTCAAGCGGAGATCACAATTATCAGGTAACTACTTTATAATTGTATCAGTCCACAGCAGAACTCGAGTCTTTCGCTCAATCATCTTTCATTCAGGTGAAAGGGCAAATTGAAGCATCAATCGAGAGGCGTGAAGTGCTTCAAGAGGATGTATGTGATCTTTCTTTTTGCATATATAGTCAATGGCTTTTCCCAAATGCACGAGTCTTCATGTCGGGTCTGGTTGATTCATGGATTCTGTACTGCTGGGAGCAAGGTAATTAATTATTGTATGGAGGGTTATGATCGAATCTCTTCTTTTAGGTTCTGCTGATGGAAGAGAGACTGGAAGAGCAAAACCAAGTGGTTTCAGAACTGCAGAAAAAATCTAAGGTATATGTATTTATATCTCATTCTGCTCGAAAACACAAAACATGGTATGGAATTTTTCTTATGGAAATGGTAACCCACAGAGACTTGAGGATGCATTGATGGATGAAAAGAAGCTGACTTCACAACGTAGAAAGGAATTGGCGAAGGTGAGGATCTTCTGGTCATTCATGTTTTTGGAAAATTGCGTTGAATGAGCTGTTTCCCTTCCTTTATCTTCTTCTGCAGCTATATAAATCGTTTCTGCGGGTCAGAGAGTGCTCGGACAATCTGAAAACTTGTGAACAGGAACTTCAGGTTAGTTTGATGAACTGCAATCTTTAAACTTGTTCATTTCCGATGAGATTAGGATTAGAATGTTCCCTGACTATGTTCTTCTTCGACTTCATGTCTGTCATGTTCAAACTGTAATGCCTAAAGTTATTGATTCCAGGTTATGCTTCTTCTTTTTTTGTTCAATTCTCACGGAAAATAAACACCTTCTGATCTCGTCGCTAATGGGTGTTTGTTGGTAATTTTTGTATTAAGATGCAATCTCCCCCTGTCGTATGTTAATGCCTTCTCGTGACATTATAATCCTATGGATTCACGGGCGAAACATGTCAATTGAAGCGTACGGACAAACACCGACTCTTTTTTTTTTTTTTGGCATTGCAGTCTCTAGTTAGAGAAGGTGGCATTGACATCTACCCGAGGGAGGAAGTCGTTCTGGGCAACGGCTTTGCTTAGTAGTAATATCACGAGGTTGATGGTTCATTACAATGCTAGGAACTTGGTCTTTGTATGTTTGATTATTGTGTTGCTCTTCACTGTGGTCGTTGTATGGGATTATATCCTTTTTTACTTCATTTAGTCATTGACTTGAAGACAATATCCATTTTTGATGATGACATGTGTTGTATTTTTTCTCTTTTGTGTTTGGTTTTGGTATCAAACAGTGGCAGCTGAGCCGACCATGGCTATTTTTTTTAAAAAAATTTATTTCATTTTTGCTGTTAAAGGCCCCACCTTCGGTATGTCGTCCATTTCGGCTTCCACAACACTACCATCTGTGAAACAAGACGAGAAAGGCTGTCGTAAAATTAACACAAACATTGGATATGTACCAAATCGGTTTTCAAATGTTGCTACTTGAGATGTTAGTGGTTATTACATTTGCGAAATCATACGACAGTTTTCACCTTCAGGGGAGAAAACAAAATGAATTTTTTTTTTTATAATTCGAAAATTCATTTTGATCCAACTAAATCAAATATCTTAAAAGATCGGAAAAGTCGGAGTGAATATCTATTCGGATTTGGATTAATGTTTGGTAAAGAATTTCTCTCTTTGACAACAAAAACACTATATGCTATATTGAATAATGGAGAAATGAAATTTCTCTCACAAAAAATCGTTTTTCTATAGCTCTCTCAAATTTGTCTTAATATATTTTTTTATTTACAATATAGAGATGGAGTATGATGATTGATAGGGTACCAAATATCGGTATTTAAAAGGTTTGGCGCATTTTGTGATTTAGTTATAATTTGGAGATTTTTCACTAATTACAACAGTTTATTTCGGTTACGTTTATTTCAATCGCTGTAGGTTTACAGAGACCTGAAGACGGAAACCATGGATGCGACGTCCAGCTCCTCCTCCTCCGCCGTTATCGATGCCCTGAGCCGCCGAGGCTGGGGCTTCGCCCACATAGA